ATAAAAAAATCCCCAAAAATCAAAATAAATCCCCAAAAATCCCCCCCAAAAATCCTTAAAAGATCCCAAAAAAAATACAAAAAAATTCTCCAAAAAGTCTCAAAAAAATTCCCAACAATTCCCAAAAAGCCAAAAAAAAATCCCCAAAAAATCTCCAAAAATCCCCAAAAAATCCCCCGAAAAATCCCCCAAAATTCCAAAAATAATCCCAAAAAAAACCCCCAATAAATCAAAATAAATCCCAAAAAATCAAAATAAATCCCAAAAAACACCCCGCAAAAAAATAAAAAAAAAAAACCAAAAATTTCCAAAAAAATCCCAAAAAAAATCCTCAAAAAATCCTCAAAAAATCCCCAAAAAAATCCCTAAAAAATCCCAAAAAAAATCCCAAAAAATCCCTAAAAAATCCCAAAAAAATCCCAAAAAAATCCCAAAAAAATCCCAAAAAATCCCTAAAAAAATCCCCAAAAAACCCAAAAAATCCCCAAAAAATCCCCAAAAAATCCCAAAAAAATCCCAAAAAAATCCCCAAAAAATCCCCAAAAAATCCCAAAAAATCCCCAAAAAAATCCCAAAAAATCCCTAAAAAACCCCAAAAAAATCCCCAAAAAATCCCAAAAAAATCCCCAAAAAAATCCCAAAAAATCCCTAAAAAACCCCAAAAAAATCCCAAAAAATCCCAAAAATCCCTAAAAAATCCCAAAAATTCCCCAAAAAATCCCAAAAATCCCTAAAAAATTCCAAAAAAATCCCCAAAAAATCCCAAAAATCCCTAAAAAATCCCAAAAAATCCCTAAAAAATCCCCAAAAAATCCAAAAAAATCCCTAAAAAAATCCCCAAAAAATCCCTAAAAAATCCCCAAAAAATCCCAAAAAATCCCTAAAAAACCCCAAAAAAATCCCCAAAAAATCCCCAAAAAATCCCTAAAAAAATCCCCAAAAATCCCCGTTCCCTTCCCGACATTCCCGACATTCCCAAATCCCGAAATGCCGCCGTTTCCCACCTCGTCTCCGGAGCTGAGCAGGTCGAGGACGGCGTCGTGCGGCGCCAGCAGAGCCCCGGCCTTGCGCAGCCTCAGCCGAGGGAACGTTCCGGAAGCGCTCGAGAATCGCTCGGCCGCGCGCTCCGCCAGCCACGCCACGCTGCGCTCCCGCCTACGGAATTCCCAAAATTCCCGGGAATTCGGCGTCCTCAGGAACGGGTGGAAATTGGGGGAATTTTGGGGGATTTTTGGGGATTTTTTGAGGCATTTTTAGTGATTTTTTTGGGATTTTGGGGGGAATTTTTAACGGAAATTTTGTCGATTTTTCTCGTGAATTTTTAGGGATTTTTTTTTTTATTTTTGGGGATTTTTTTTTGGGAGATTATTTTGCGGATTCTGGCAAAATTTGGGGGATTTATTGCGAATTTTTGGTGATTTTTTCATGATTTTTTGGGGATTTTTTTGGCAAAATTTTGAGGGAACGTTTTTGGATTTTAGAGGATTTTGAGGAGATTTTTACCAAATTTTGGTGATTTTTTTGGTGAATTTTTGGGGTTTTTTTGTGAATTTTTTCCAATTTTTTCCAGTTTTTTGGGAGAACCTTTGGGGACTTTTTGAGGGATTTTTGGGAGGGGTTTTTTTGGGAATTGTTTCTGGGATTTTTGGTAAAATCTTGGGGATTTTTGAAACTTTTCTGGGATTTTTTTAAGGTTTTTTTGTGATATTTTTGAGGGGATTTTCGGAGGAATTTTTGGGGGGGTTTTTTGGGTGGATTTTGGGAGATTTTTAAGGGGTTTTTGGCCAAATTTTGAGGGTTTTTTTTCTGAATTTTTTCAGCTTTTTACATGAATTCTTTCCAATTTTATTTTTTGGAGTTTTTGGGCATTTTTTTCATTTTTTTTTTGAGATTTTTCGGGGTTTTTTGAGGGTTTTTTTGAGATTTTTTTTAGGAATTTTTGAGGAACTTTTGGCAAAATTTTGGGGATTTTTTGAGGCTTTTCAGGATTTTTTGAGGCATTTTCAGAGTTTTTCTGTGAAACTTTTACGATTTTTGAAGAGATTTTTTTTTTTGCGAATTTTGGAGCGTTTTTTGAGGATTTTTTTGCGAAGTTTTGGGAATTTTGGAGGGATTTGTGAGGATTTTTGGTGAAATTTCAGGGTGTTTTTTTTGCGGGAACGTTCCGGAAGCGCTCCCGCCTACGGAATTCCCAAAATTCCCGGGAATTCGGCGCCCTCAGGAACGGGTGGAAATTGGGGAATTTTTGGGGATTTTTTGGGGATTTCTTAAGGATTTTTTGAGGCATTTTTAGTGATTTTTTTTGGATTTTTAGGTAATATTTTAACGAAATTCTGGTGATTTCTTTGTACATTTTGGGGGGAATTTTAGGGAATTTATTTTTATTTTTGGGGAGTTTTTTTGAGATTTTTTTCAAAGATTTTTGGCAAAATTTTGGGGAATTTTTTGGGGGGTTTTTGGTGAATTTTGTACGATTTTTCGCAGGGATTTTTTTGGCAAAATTATGGGGATTTGGGGGCATTTTTTGGGGTTTATTTGTGATTTTTTGGAATTTTTTGAAGAAATTTTGGCAGAATTTAAGGGATTTTTAGCAAAATTTCAGGGATTTTTTGGCAAACTCTTGGAATTTTTATTTTTTAGGATTTTTGGTAAAATTTTGGGGATTTTTTGAGGCTTTTATGGGTATTTTTTGTGAAACTTTTACAGTTTTTGAACATTTTTTAAGAGATTTTTAATTGAAATTTTAGGAATTTTTTTGTGAATATTTGGGTTGGTTTTTTTTTTATTTTTGGGGATTTTTTTGGAGATTATTTTGGGGGTTTTTTGGCGAAATTTTCGGGAGTTTTGAGGGAATGTTTTTTGGATTTTAGAGAGTTTTTTAGCAGATTTTTTGCCAAATTTTGAGAATTTTTTAATGAATTTTGGGGGATTTTTTTGAGAATTTTTAAGCAAAATTTCAGAGATTTTGGGGGATTTTTAAGTGAAATTTTGGGAATTTTTCTGTGACTTTTTAGGAATTCTTTGGGGTTTTTTTCTGATTTTTTTTGATTTTGTGGGGACTTTTTAAATGAAATTTTGATGGTTTTTCTGTCATTTTCTCTGAGAATTTTTCTATGAATTTTTAGGGATTTTTTTGATTTTGTGGAGGATTTTTTGGGAGATTATTTTGAAGATTTTTGGCAAAATTTTGGGGATTTTTTGTGAACTTTTGGGCTTTTTTTTGAGAATTCTTTACAAATTTTTGGGGGGTTTTTGGGGATTTTTTGGCGAAATTTTCGAGATTTTTGAGGGAATTTTTTTTGGATTTTAGAGAATTTTTTAGGAGATTTTTTTGCCAAATTTTGAGAATTTTTTTGTGAATTTTGGGGGATTTTTTGGGAGCATTTTTGGCAAAATTTCAGGGATTTTGGGGGATTTTTTAAATGAAATTTCTGGATTTTGGGGGGAATTTTATGGGGTTTTTCCAGGACATTTTCAGGAATTTTGAGAGAATTTAATGGGATTTTTGAAGGATATTTTTGGGAATTTTGAGGGAATTTTAAGGGATTTTTGCAGGATATTTTTGGGAATTTTGGAGGAATTTTATGGTATTTTTGGCAGAATTTTATGAGATTTTTCCAGGATATTTTTGGGAATTTGGGGAGAATTTTCTGAGAATTTTGGGAGAATTTTATGGGATTTTTGAAGGATATTTTTGGGAATTTTGAAGGAATTTTAAGGGATTTTTGAAGGATATTTTTGGGAATTTTGAGGGAATTTTAAGGGATTTTTGAAGGATATTTTTGGGAATTTTGGAGGAATTTTAAGGGATTTTTGGCGGAATTTTATGAGATTTTTCCAGGATATTTTTGGGAATTTGGGGAGAATTTTCTGAGAATTTTGGGAGAATTTTATGGGATTTTTGAAGGATATTTTTGGGAATTTTGGAGGAATTTTAAGGGATTTTTGAAGGATATTTTTGGGAATTTTGAGGGAATTTTAAGGGATTTTTGCAGGATATTTTTGGGAATTTTGGAGGAATTTTAAGGGATTTTTGAAGGATATTTTTGGGAATTTTGAGGGAATTTTATGGGATTTTTGGAGGATATTTTTGGGAATTTTGGAGAAATTTTATGGTATTTTTGGCAGAATTTTATGAGATTTTTCCAGGATATTTTTGGGAATTTGGGGAGAATTTTCTGAGAATTTTGGGAGAATTTTATGGGATTTTTCCAGGATATTTTTGGGAATTTTGGAGGAATTTTAAGGGATTTTTGCAGGATATTTTTGGGAATTTTGAGGGAATTTTATGGGATTTTTCCAGGATATTTTTGGGAATTTTGAGGGAATTTTATGGGATTTTTGCAGGATATTTTTGGGAATTTTGGGGAAATTTTATGGTATTTTTGGCGGAATTTTATGAGATTTTTCCAGGATATTTTTGGGAATTTTGGGAGAATTTTCTGGGACATTTTTCAGGACATTTTCGGGAATTATGGGATGATTTCCCAGCATTTTTGGCTTTTTTCCCTCCAAATCCCCTGGCTAAAATTCCACGATTTCCACCGGAATTTTATGGAATTCCCGTCAGCACCACCCCAAAAATTCCCAGAAACATTTGGAATTCTCACCTGGGCGCCACCGGGATGAGGAAAACGTCGTCCTGGATTCGGATCCGGATGCGCAGGACGGGAATTTGGGAAGAATTCCCGGAAGATTCCGGAATTTCCGAGGAATTTGGGATAACCCCGGAAGATTCCGGAACTTGGGGCGGATCCGAATCGATCCCAGGAAATTCCTGCTGATCTTCGGGATCCTTCCCGGAATCCTCCGGAGTTTGGGATTCCCGAGATGAAACTCTGGATGTTCCTGGATCGGGAATTCGGTGATCCCGACGAGATTCCCGGAATTCCCAAGGATTCTTCCGGGCTTTTTTTCGGGATGGTCCCAAATCGTCCTCCAGCCAATCTTCCTGCTCCAGGAATTCTTCCAGCGGGATCAAGGCGGGTTTGGGAATTTCAGGTGGAAATTTGGGATTTTCTGTCGCAAATTTGGGATTTTCCGAGCCGGTTTTTCCCGATTTTCCCAAATCCCGTTTTTTTTCCGGCTTTTCGGCCTCTGGAATTCGCTGGCGCTTCCGGAGGGGACTCGAAGGGGCCCCGATCCCGGGATTTGGGGTTTGGGATTTTGGGATTTGGGATTCCTGAGGAGGATCAGGAAGGGCTGGAAAAAGGGAAAAAAATCGGGATTAAGGTCGGGAAAAATTGGGGGAAATCAGGGAAAACCCTGAAGGAAGAAGGAAATTCGGGATGGGGGCGTGGAATTCCCAAAAAAAAATCGGGATGGGGATGAAAAAACGCCGGAAAAATGCGGAATTGGGGCATAGAATTCCCCAAAAAAATATTGTGGAAAATATTGGAATAATAATAATAATAGTAATAATAATAGTAATAATAGTAATAATAGTAATAGCAGTAATAGTAATAGAATTAATATTAGTAATAATAATAATCTTTTATATTATTAACCACTTATATTTACTAAAATACTAAATAATATTTATTGTTAATAATTAATATACAATTAATACAATATAATAATAATTATTATTATAATCTAATATAATAATCATTATATGCTTATTATTGTTATTATTATCATTATTTATTATTATTGTTATTATTATTATTATTATTACTATTATTATTATTATTATTATTATTATTTCAGAAAACATATTAGAAAATCAGAAAATATCCAAAATATTTTGAAAAAAATTCCCCAAAAAATCGTTCAAAATCTCCAAATATTTAAAAAAATATGAAAATTAAGAAACAAATATTAAGCCTGAAAAAAAATTTTAATAAAACCAGAAAAAACCAGAAAAAAATTTCCCCAAATATAAAAAAGCAATCAGGAAAGTTAAAAAAAGAAACGGAAAAAAACCCCAAAACCCCAAAAAATCGGAAAAAAAACCCTCTCAAAATAATGAAGAGAAATTCCAAAATTTCAAAAATATAAATATTTAAAATCCCCAAAAAAACCTGAAAAAACCCTGAAAAAAATAATAAAAGAATATGAAAAAAATCCAAAAATTCCCCAAAAATCCTGAAAAAAACCTGAAAATAATTCCAAATTACATTTGAAAAGAACCAGAAAAAAAAATCTCTCCAAACACACAAAAACTAAGAAAAACATGAAAAAACCATGAAAAAAGGGAAAAAAAAAAATTAAATAAATAAAAATATCCGGTAAAAATAAAAGAACTGAAAAAATTAATAAACATGAAAAAATTAAGAAGAATTTTTTTAAAAATAGGGAAAAATTTAAAAAATCTCAAAAAAATAATCAAGAATAGGGAAAAGATATTAAAAAATAGAAAAAGAATTTAAAAAACACAAAAAGGAAAAAAAATCCAAAAAAATATGAAAAAATACAAAAAAAATGGGAAAAAAATATTTTAAAAAGCCTCAAAAAATAACAAATAAATGGGGAAAAAAATCAAAAAATATCTGAAAAAAATAAGAAGAAAATTGGGGAAAAAATAAAAAATATGAAAAAGTAATTAAAAAAATGGGGAAAAAAATTCCAAAATACATATATATAAAAAGGAAATAAATAAAAATAATCTCAATAAATAAATGGGGAAAAAAAAGAAAACAAAAAAGGTAAAAAATAAAGAATAAAAATAATTGTAAAAGTGGGGGGAAAATATAAAAAAAATATGAAACAAATCAAAAATATGAAGAAATTATCCATAAAAACCTGGAAAAAATAACAAAAAATGAGGAAAAATTTTTAAAAAAATGGAAAAAAAGGGGAAAAATAAAAAAAAAAAATCTGAAAAAAATAATAAAAAAAATTTAAAAAAAAGCTGAGAAAAAAAGGGGAAAGAAAATCCAAAAAAACTTGAAAAAAAA